TTTTTGTTTTAATCGCGCGGAGAAGTTTTGTGGAAATCAATTTATTTAATTTATCTGTCAGCAATAACAGATGACAGATCAGTATGTGTGTAAATGTAGTTACGAGCCTGAGGGCGCGAATTCTACGCAATATTAAGCCATCATATCTTTTATAATATCGATTTTCGGACTCTATGCCCGAGAGAGATTTTTGATCAACACCATCTAAACTATAACATATTTCAATTTCAGCCAATTTGATCGGACTCACTTTTACATTTAAAATGTGCGAGGTTTTTTATTTCATATCTAATCTCTTGAAAAAATATATTAATATTATTTCTAATAATAAATGGTAAATAAATAAATAATAATGACAATAATAATAAATAATAAAAAAATAATAAAATAAAGTGTGTTATACGTACCAGAGCAAAATTCCATCTTTAACTTTGTCATACAGCGCCTTTCCCTCGGGATCGATAGGCAGCAGGTGCTTCAGGTCCGGATCGTGTAAGAGATTGGTGTTGATCCAATCGCTGAACGCCAATTGTTCCTCGAGCCTGACGGAATGTGTGGTGCCTTCACTGGATGCCTCGGAAATTCCACCTAAAGTCTCAAGGTTCTCCTTTTTCGAAACGACATGTTTGAACGTAGAACCCAGTTCGTTGGCCTTGAGCTCCTTGCAAAGTTTCTCGAACTCCTCAAAGGAAAGACGACCTCTGTGCTCGAGTCGCTGCTTATCATCGTATTCCTCAATCATCTGACGCACCTTGTAGCCTGGCATCTTGAAACCGCAAACGTCCAGTGCGCTTCGCAGTTCAGTGACATTAATGAAGCCATCTCCGTTCGCGTCGATCTGTCCAAGAAAAAAAATCATCAGCCATTTCATCAATAACTCGATGATATGTTACGTTATGAAGATTAACTTAGAGATTATAAAAATATTACTTTCATATATTTTCAATTATAAAATTCTGTTATGTTGGTATTAATAATGAATAATTTTATTATGCAAGATGTAAAATTTTCTTCTATTTTCTTCCATAATGTTGACGAAAGTCAATTAATGATGTAAGATTTATAATCGCAGGTGCGACTGGAATAGATTTACGGAAGGTCGAGGAATACACGAACAATACTCTTGAATCACAATGGAGACAAATACTTTTATTCAATTAATATCAGACTTTTCTATTCACATAAAATTGTCTAACGATCTTTATATTGTTCGCAGTTTTTTGCAATCTAACGATCTTTATATCGTTCATTCGCCCGTTTTTATACACAACATGCGTTAACACAGCGCACAGTCATCGCAATATCGTCAATTACACTAAATTGCGTGATGGACTAAAAGTTATAATTATTATGCGGTTTGATACACTCGTTTGCTCTCTGTCGTCAGATTGACTGGAATTTGGCGATCTCGATCACCCGTCTTTAATCCTCACATGGGATTTGTCGCGATTTCAGATGTTAGAACTAATTACGATAAAGGATCGATACGCTTGCTTAAATATGAGCATTGAAACTATTTGTTGTCTTTCCAACACGCGCGAAATTTTCGCCTGTAAGTAAGGTGTCGAAAAAGTCTCGCGTGACAGAAAAGTCACCAAAACACTCAAAACATGAAAAGAAAGGTTTTCTAAAATCTATCTCAGTTATTCTATTTCCGAATTTTAACTATTAATTGTTAGATCAATATAGATAGCAATAATGAGTGTATTCTGTAACATTCTATCCGCTTTGTTCAGTTTCAATGAACGATGATCAATTATGTAACTCACGTGACTATAGTGAATGCTGCTGTTGCTTTATCGCTCTATGTCTAATTGCTGTGCAACGATGTACGCTTACCGGTCATCCGGGGTGGATGGTTCAACTAGTAACTTACATAATCGTGTAACGGGTTGTTTAAAATAGATGTGGAAATCTTTACGGTGACAATACGTACTAAATTGTCATCTCCGGCATGTCACTGCAATATACGCCCAGTATCCTATAGACGGCGGGAGATTGGAGTTGTGTAATAAAACAAAATCACCGGCTTTGAGATTTATTAACAAGTACGCCATTTTTTCTGTTGTTAGAGTTAATTCAAATAATTAGATAATCATACTTTTCAGAATCTCTGCTGCAAATGTTAAACCGTCTGCCACCTTAATAGTCTATTAATATTAACATCCCCAACACTTTCAGGAAAGGGACTGACCTCAGGTGTGATCCGATAAGAAAGTGACCCGGAATTAAAGTGTCGAAGTTCTCCGAATCATCAAACAGTGGGGAGAGCGATCGAGAATTCAAGATGCGTTCTATATTATACAGTAGAATGTAGCATTCTTCAAGAGTCGGAGTGAAATCTTCAATTCTTCTCTTGAGATAAAACTTGACACTCTTTACGCTGGCCTCCCAGAATCTTCCAAATTGAGGAGCAGCAAGATGAATCGTGAAGAGATTTCATCTAAAGCGAAATGATTCTGAAGCTTTGGATCCCTTAATATTTCACAAATTCTCCTGATTAATTCCTTGTCGCCATCTTTGTCCCATTATCACTGTAGATTACCTGTAGATAATCCTCTCCGGATAGTAAATCTTTCGGACCAGGTGTGGCCAAGAAACCACTGGAAGTATAACCGTTTGCGACTTCCAGATGTATAACATGAGTCGTTAACCACACAAAGAGAATACAGTATGCCTTGTGCGTTTTGTGATCTCTTCCTTTCGCGGATCTAATAAAAAATGACCCCGCATAATTTACACCGATATTCATAAAGGAGCATGTTGGCCTAACGCGGACTTGGGAGTGATCTCCCATCCGTTGATGTGACATCGTAGCTCGCTGACGCGTGCAAGTCACACAATTCACAATACAAGTTTTGATCGAGTTTCGCGCTCTAAGTATCCAATACTGTTATCACAAGGTTCGCAGGGTCAATTGGAGCCCCCCGTGCAGGGTGAAGACATGCGTGTATCAGTGAACTCTATACATACCGGAATGAGCGATTCCTTTGTTTGGCTGTCGCCACTATTTCGCCGAGAGAGAGGTGCCTTAGATATCTGGCATCTCTTTCTAGTATTACGACATTGATCCACGACATGTCACGTGACATCAGAATGATGTTGACGTGCATGCCATGGACCAATCAGGTAATACTAGGAAAGAAATGCCAGAATTCTTATGAGAAATTATAGCAGAATCGAAAAACTTATCATACGTTGCTGGGCAAATAAAGGAAACCGAACTGCCTGTGTCAAGCAAAGCTATCAAATTACTATCAATATTGTTTAACCGTATGACTTTAAGAACAGTGTCATAAGTGATGATTTTCCTAACGTTAACATTGTCAACTAGCGCTACCATCTTAATGAAAATAAGGAATCACGGTCCAAAAATAAAAGAATAATGATAATAAAAGGTCAATGACAGCATAACGATGGAAGATGATGTCAATAGGCATTACAATTATACGCAAAAATTGCAGGTAACAATGCAACATTTTTTATTATTAATATGTGTTTTAGGTTTTGATAGAGAATAATTTTAGCGAAGAAAAGGATCATCGTCCAAGAAAGAAAAAAGATATAGATGATAGAAGACAGCATAACCGAAGATGATACGCATAAATTGCAGGTAACAATACAACATTTTTTATTATTAATATATGTTTTAGGTCTTGACAGAGAATAATCTTAGCGAAGAAAAAACCCCCATTAAGTTAGCCCCCCACCAGCGCTAAATAAGTCCAAACCTGGATTAAAATTAGGTGCTAATTAGGTGCCGAAGTCCGAAATTAGGTACTCAAATCATTTGGCAGGAAATTAGATGTATACTGGGGAAGGGGGGGACTAAACATTAAGCTGGCTTCCCCCATATAAAAAAACATAAATAAAATAATTATTAAAAAAACAAATACATAATAATTAAGTGCTCTCAGAAACCGTTAAGATACATCCAAAATAAAATTTTTTTATACCGCTTTACTCTTGTACGGCGCCAGCGGTGGGCGCGACCGACGTTTAAGTTCGAAATTCTGCCAAACAGATCGAGCACTTAATTCGGCATTTACATATCTTGATATGTTCGTGCCATTTTTTGCTAATAGATGAAGACCGAAAGAACGGCACTTTCTGAACTTTCCGTTCAACCCAATATATAGAAATTAATTTTATATTTTTTATAGAAACCAGAAGATAATGAAGTAAAGTTATAAAAGATTCGGACAAATATAAACAACCTTATATCACGCCAGAAATTAGCAAACAGAAAAGCAACATTGAGAAACATTGTTGTAATTGTAAAGGAAATTGCATGTCACAGATATGTGCCTATGCAAAAAGAAAAAATAAATACAATTTCTTATGTAATTGCAAACATAACATATATCAAAATGAGGTAATATTTATTAAGCACAAAAAATATTAGCGATAGTCTTGCTGAAATTATCAAGAAATTGGAAATACAAGTGGGGGGAGGGGGAGGAAAGGGTATTATAGACGAGTAAGAATGAGAAGGCAAGGAGTCAGTGAAAAATGCAGAAATGCAATGTAAGTTCTAATACCTAATTAGTAAGACGACCGATTTATTCGACGAGACGACGACGACTAGACGGTAAGTGCGAAAGAGCGCGAGCATATATTTACATATATAAAGCGTCGCACGCAATTACAATATTAAGCGCGATGAGAATTTGCGAACGCACCCAAAAATGAGAAACGACAGATAAGTGATAATACAAGCAAAAGAAAATTAATCAAAAGAAAGCGCGAAAGCTTGAAGCATCTTTTCTTAACTATTCTAACATTCTCATCGCTTGAGTGCTTTCGAACGATTTTCCTATACCTAATCTTTCACATAAGGGCTTGAAATGACATTTTGGCGCTTTTGTAAACAAATCAACTCGTTGTTGTTCGCTCGGTAAATAAATTACTTTGACAGTTCCTTCTTTGACCTCTCTAATAGAGTGAAACTTTATATCAATGTGCTTCGCACGCTGATGGTACTCCGGATTTTGCACAAGTTTAATTGCACTGGTTATCTATATACAACGGAGTTGACCTGTTATATTCACACTTGAGCTTTGTTAACAATTTCCTAAGCCAAACGCATTCTTATGTCGCCAAAGCCGCAGCTACGCACTCGGCCTCTATAGTACTTAACATGACTAATGGTAGCTTTTTTGAACACCTTTTTATAACATTTGCAAAACAAAAGGGGTATCCGATAGTAGACCTTCTTGTCTCGATGTCTCCAGCATAGTCGGCATCTGCAAAGCCTATCAATCGAGATCCGCTCCCCTCTGCTCTATAAACTATACTGAAACGCGTAGTACCTTTTCAATATTTGAAAATACACTTAACAACTTGCCAATGGCTTTCATCAAGATTTGCAAGATGTTTGCTAATACTATTAACAGCGTAGGTCAAGTCTGGACGCATCATTACCGCCAAAAACATGAGTGAGCCAACAGCTTCGCGAAAAGGAACTGCTAAACGATTGTTTGTGTCTTCCGCCGGTTTTAGACAGATATGAACATCAACTGGGACACTCACAGGCTTGGTCTCGCTCATTTTAAATCTATCTAAGATCTGAAGCGCGTAGGCTTCTTGGTGGATAAACATAGTTTTATCTCTTTTTATTTATACTCCTACGAAACTTTTACCGTTTCCTAACGTTATTTCGAACTCGTCACACAATTTATTCAATACTGTCTCTAAAGCAGTCTTGTTTTTTGAAGTTATCAGTCCATTATCTATGAATAACGCTAAATACACTACACTATTCTCGACTTGACTTAGAAAAATACACAGATCGGAATTGCACTGTTTGAAACCGAATTGCGCAAAAAAATGCGTGAA